TTTATATAGCTGCATATTTAGGTAAGTCAGTGTGTTTATTATATCTTATATGTACACATAATAAACCACATATGTCTGCAAGCAATGTGTATCTCCATCAAGGTGCATGGATGGAGATGTCTGCAATTCTGCAGGTGTACGTCTCCACGTATGCGTGTGTACACAACCCATATATAGAGAGAGAGAGATGTAAATGGGTGTGAGAGTGCACCATGTGCCTCAGTGTGCACACACTGCAGAGTGCATGTGTGTGAGTGTAATGGCAGCACACGCTGCACTGTTCCGAGCTGCTGCTACTCAGTGGGGAGCACCGCCGAGACGCGCTGTGGAAGCCACACTCGGGCTCTGCTCCATAGTCAACCTTTATTTCAAAGCCGCTCCAAACCTTTTGTGTGTTTTAAAGGGTGTGCAGCAGTCAGTTAGTCACCCACACACCCACCCACACCCCCAGCCAGGCACCCACCCACCCCCCCAGCCAGGCACCCACCCACCCCCCCAGCCAGGCACCCACCCACCCCCCCAGCCAGGCACCCACCACCCCCCAGCCAGGCACCCACCCACCCCCCAGCCAGGCACCCACCCACCCCCCCAGCCAGGCACCCACCCACCCCCCAGCCAGGCACCCACCCCACCCCCCAGCCAGGCACCCACCCACCCCCCCAGCCAGGCACCCACCCACCCCCCAGCCAGGCACCCACCCACCCCCCAGCCAGGCACCCACCCACCCCCCCCAGCCAGGCACCCACCCACCCCCAGCCAGGCCCCCCCCCCAGCCAGGCACCCACACACACCCCCAGCCAGGCACCACACCCCAGCCAGGCACCCACACCCCCAGCCAGGCACCCACACACCCACACACCCAGCCAGGCACCCACACACACCCCCAGCCAGGCACCCACACCCCAGCCAGGCACCACACACCCACACCCCCAGCCAGGCACCCCACACACACCCCCAGCCAGCACCCACACCCCCAGCCAGGCACCACCCACCCCCAGCCAGGCACCCACCCACACCCCCAGCCAGGCACCCACCACACCCCCAGCCAGGCACCCACACACACCCCCAGCCACACACACACCCCCAGCCAGGCACCCACCCACCCCCCAGCCAGGCACCCACACACCCACACCCCAGCCAGGCACCCACCAGCCAGCACCACACCCCCAGCAGGCACCCACACCCCCAGCCAGGCACCCACACACCCACACCCCCAGCCAGGCACCCACACACACCCCCAGGCCCCCCCCAGCCAGGCCCCCACACTGCCACACACCCCCCCCCCAGCCAGGCTGCCGACACCAGTGTGTGTGTGTGTGTGTTACCTGTGCTCGGGGCTGTGGTGCTGGAGGCTGCCGCCTCCTCACTGCGCCTCTCATCGTGACTCCTCACTCACCACTCACACCGCGCAACTTCCGCGTCCGTCACCAGCACAGCCCCACCCCCACCCCAGCCCAGCCCCACCCCCACCCCCACCCCAGCCCCACCCCCAGCCCAGCCCAGCCCCACCCCAGCCCAGCCCCTCCCCCAGCCCAGCCCCACCCCCAGCCCAGCCCCACCCCACCCCCAGCCCACCCCCCAGCAGCCACCCCCCCACCCCACCCCCACCCACCCAGCCCCTCCCCACCCCGCCCACCCCACCCCAGCCCCCCCACCCAGCCCACCCCAGCACAGCCCCACCCCACCCCACCCAGCCCCACCCCCAGCCCACCAGCCCCCCCACCCCAGCCCAGCCCCCCCCCACCCCCACCCAGCACAGCCCCCCCCACCCCAGCCCAGCCCCCCCCCACCCCAGCACAGCCCCACCCCACCCCAGCACAGCCCCACCCCCACCCAGCACAGCCCCCCCCCCCCACCCCAGCCCAGCCCCACCCCACCCGCCCACCCCACCCCAGCCCAGCCCCCCCCCACACCCACCCCACCCCCCCCCCACCCCAGCACAGCCCCCCCCCCACCCCAGCCCAGCCCCACCCCCACCCCAGCACAGCCCCCCCCCACACCCAGCCCAGCCCGCCCCACCCCCAGCCCAGCACAGCCCCCCCCACCCCAGCCCAGCCCCCCCCCACCCCAGCACAGCCCCCGCCCCACCCCAGCCCAGCCCCAGCCCCCACCCCAGCCCAGCCCCACCCACCCCCAGCCCCACCCAGCCCCACCCAGCCCCACCCCCACCCCAGCCCCACCCCAGCCCCACCCCCACCCCCAGCCCCACCCCCCCCAGCACAGCCCACCCCAGCACAGCCCCACCCCACCCCCACCCCAGCCCAGCCCACCCCCACCCCAGCCCAGCCAGCCCCCACCCCACCCCAGCACAGCCCCACCCCCACCCCAGCACAGCCCCACCCCACCCAGCACAGCCCCACCCCAGCACAGCCCCACCCCCCCACCCCAGCACAGCCCCACCCCCACCCCACCCCAGCCAGCCCCACCCCCACCCACCCCACAGCCCCACCCCCACCCCAGCCCCACCCCACCCCAGCCCAGCCCACCCCAGCACAGCCCCACCCCCACCCAGCACACCCCCACCCAGCACAGCCCACCCCACCCCAGCCCCCACCCCAGCCCACCCCCACCCAGCACACCCCCACCCAGCACAGCCCCACCCCCACCCAGCACAGCCCCACCCACCACAGCCCCACCCCCACCCCAGCACCCCCCCACCCCAGCCCAGCCCCACCCCCACCCCCGCCCACCCCCACCCAGCCCCCCCACCCCAGCCCACCCCACCCCACACAGCCCACCCCACCCCCCCCCCCCCACCCCAGCACAGCCCACCCCCCCCCACCCCCAGCCCAGCCCCACCCCCACCCCAGCACAGCCCCCCCCACCCCAGCCAGCCCCACCCCCACCCCAGCCCAGCCCCCCCCCACCCCAGCCCCACCCCCAGCCCCAGCCCCACCCCCAGCCCAGCCCCACCCCCACCCCAGCCCCACCCCCACCCCAGCCCCACCCCCACCCCAGCCCCACCCCACCCAGCCCCACCACCCACAGCCCCACCCCACACAGCCCCACCCCCACACCCAGCCCAGCCAGCCAGCCCCACCCCCACCCCAGCCACACCCCAGCACGCCCCACCAGCCAGCACAGCCCCACCCCCACCCCAGCACAGCCCCACCCCAGCACAGCCCCACCCCCACCGGAGATTAGAAGGGATGGTGGCTTTTGTGGAGAATAAACACTGGCCTGGACAAGTTGGGCCGAATAGCCTGTTTCAGTGAGGTGACATTCTATGTAATTGTATGTACTGCAAGAGGTAAGGTTTTGGAAAATATGAATATATTGGGAAGTCCTGTAGCTCAGTGGTTAGAGCACTCGCCTTGCAAGTGAGACACCTGGGTTCAATTCCAGGCAGGGCGAAACCTTGGGCAAGTTTCCTTACTCCACACGCCTAATAATAATTCCTCCAAAACAATAATAAATTGGTCATTTTCAATCAACAACTGTTTGTGGGACACTGCTGTGAGCAATTGGCTGCCACGTTTTGCCCACAAATATACAGTCAATTCACTTTTCCGTATATTCTGTGAAGCGCTTTGAGATGTCGAGAAGGCGTATAAAGCGCAATATCAAATGCAAGGATTATTATTATTACAACTCAAAAGAGATAGAGGTATGACATTTAAGAAGATATTGTGGCTTGCATATATATTGTACATTAATAAATCACATATTTCTCACATTTCTCCAGAAGTGAATATTCACCATCTGGATCTTGCTTTCAGGCAGCATGAAGAATACATGAATACATGACATAGAGCCAAAAGATAAATCATAGTTCAATTTGACAATTTAAATTCCTGGGGTTACCTTGGGCCAAAACCAAAATTTACTGTACAGGAATACTGAGTCATACAGCAAAGATCAGCTGTTTGCAACAAGACTTAATGTAAAAGCAGAAAGAAGTTGACAGAAGTGTACTTTATAATTGCAAATTGACATGGAGGTTGAACTATTCCAATGTTGTATTTAATTCCACACAACATCAAAACTTCCTATTTTGTAATCTCTACATCAAGTGTCAGAGCTAAAAGCTCATTACAATTTCATGATTCAGGTCTTTAAAATGTTCTGATCTTATCTCAGATGATCTCATGAATCTCATTCTCCAAAATGTGATGCATTCAAACTTAAATCCCCAAATACTCATCAATCCTATGTCTCTGCTATTCAACCCAAGCTCTTTCCTTCCACAGACATTAGCACAGAATGATCTTGCTACATGTTGCATTGGGTCATCTGATTCTGCAACTATTGTCTCTCATTAGGTCTCATTCAGACATTTATCTACCTTTTCTGAAGGAATCAATTGACAATTGGTTTTCTCCGGAGTCTTGCAAATATGTATTTTCGCCCACAAATATATAGTCAATTCATTTTACAGTATATTCTGTGAAGAGCTTTGAGAAGTCTAGAAGACGTGAAAAGCACGATATCAAATGCAAGGATTATTATTTATTACTATTACCGAGTGAGTCGGGGAGCGGCGGCAGGAGAGCGCGGGGAGGAGCCTGGGCCTACTGACCCAGGTACTTAAACTCGACGCCGGAGCGAGTTCAGCTAGGGAGGGGGTGGTCTGGAGGCGGAGCGGGGGAACTGCGACGTCATAGATTAGTTTTCAGGTGAGTGCGCGCGCACAAAAAAAAAAAACCTCCGCGCCCCCCCCAGGGCTCACATCAGAGCCCACTATGGTCCTGTTGCGTTCGCTGCCCCAATCTGCGGGATAATGCCATCCACCTGACCGCTCGCTCCCGGTCCCCGCGTGCGCACTATGGCTGCCGCTTTGACCCGAGCCCCCTCACCCCCTCCCTCCCTCCCCCCTCCTCTCTCCCCCCAAACCCTCCCCCCTCTGCATCTCTCCCGCTCTCTCCTCCTCTCTCTCCGTCCCTCTCGTCTTCTATCCCCACTTGACCCTCCCACAACCTCCCTCTGTTCCAGTCTGGGAATCCTCCGCCGGGCTCACCGTGGCACTCGGCGTTGGCTGTCCAGCAGCAGCCACACCGACTGCCCCATTCCCCACCACTCTCGCCAGCCACCCCGGACACAGACCCGGGGAGTCAACCTCTCCTCCCTCATCCCCATTCCCCCCACCCCTGCCTCACAACCTGGACCCCCCTTCCCTCCCACACACCCTTCTGTCAACCGCTCCCTCCACATCGGACTGCAAAATGTCCGCTCCCTCTGCAACAAGGCCCTGGTCATCAACGATCTCATCCTTGATGAGAACGTTGATATCATGGCCTTGACAGAAACGTGGCTCACCCCAGGCGACACCTTCCCCCTCACGGAGGCCACGCCACCCGGCTACACCTCCCACCACATCCCCCGCCCCAACCGCCGTGGCGGTGGTGTTGCCCTTATCTCAAGGACACCACTTGCCCTATCTCCTTACTCCACTGGCTCTTTCCCCTCCTTCGAGCACCTCACCCTCTCCCACCCCTCATTCCTCTCCCTTAAAATCCTCCTCCTCTACCGGCCCCCTAAAACCTCTCCCACCTTCATCTCTGACATTTCAACACTCCTCACATCTCTTTGCCTCTCCTCTGATCGCCTCATCATCCTGGGCGACTTTAACCTACACTTCACCCCCTCCTGCTCCATCTCCACAGACTTCTCTTCCCTGCTCTCCTCACTCAACCTTTCCCTACACATAAACTCCCCCACTCACAGTCACGGCCACCCACTCGATTTGGTGATCACCCGGGGCCTCAGTGTCTCGGATGTCACTATTACCGACAAGGCCATCTCCGACCACTACTTCATCTCCTTCACCACCTCCACCCCCTCCCCACCTCCACCAGACCCACCACCATCTTCTACCGCCCTTGGAAGAAGTTACCCCCACAATCCCTAACCGATGCCTTGGAGTCCTCTGAACTCCTCTCCCTCTGGCCTTCAACCCTCACCGACCCCTCTTCTCCTCTCTCCCTCCTCCACAATATCCTCTCCTCCACACTCGATACTCTTGCCCCCATCACTTCCCGCACTGTCTCCTACTCCCGCTCCTCCCCCTGGTACACCACCCACCTCCGCTCACTGAAATGCCAGGTGCGGGCTGCTGAGCGCACCTTTGTCAAATCTGGCCTAACGGTCCACCGACAAATCTGGCTGGACCTCCTCAAAATTTACCGCTCCACTCTAGCCTCGGCCAAGTCGTCCTTCTACTCCAGGATAATCCTGGAGGCGAAGAACAACCCCAGGCTACTGTTTTCCACCACATCCCGACTCCTCCGTCCCCCCCGCCACCCCGCGCAGGTCATCTCCTCCAACCTTCACTGCGAGGAGATGCTGGATTTCCTTGAATCCAAGATCAAGGGAATCCGCTCCGCGGTCACTTCCCCTCCAACTTCCACCCACCACCCACCCCTTCCCTCCCACACTCCGACTCCTACCCATCCTCCCCTACACACCTTCGTACCCGTTTCCCCACCCTCTGTCACTGAACTCATCC